GAAAAAAACTTCGAATTTAAATATTTTTTCTGAAACAAGGCCAAAAGCTAAAATAACTAAGGAGGCATCCATAAAGTACGTATGGAGTAAAACCACTGATTTAGAGCCCCCCTTTTTCCCCTTGTACGAACCTGTACACTTTCAAAGACACGCACACATACACACACCCACAGCGAACGTACGCATTATTTTTTTTTCAAAATTAACTCGATTGTTTTTTCTCTCCTCATTATTTATAAAGAAATAAAAATAAAAATTGACTGAAGTCAGAAAAAAAAAAGCACAAATCTGATTTGTTACACACGTGAAATTCAATGTTTAAAAAAAAAAAAAAAAAATCAAACTTAGGAGAGATAGGCAAACCGCCTACGTACTCACTGTATTTAACACCTCCTCCCCCCTTGTACGCGTTCGTACGCTTTTGGGAAACCCCCTCCCCCCTACCTGCGTACGTACTTTATGGATGGCCCGTAAACTGAAAAAGTCCTCGCGACTAACTTTTGTCTGTATCATACGACTTTTATTTGTTATGAAATAAGAGTCAGGTGACTATGTTGATAAAAAACCATAGCTGGAAATATCGCATTGAGTTTTTATGCAAAAAAGATGCTAAAAGTATAGTATAAAGTGTATAAAGCTGTATAATATAAGACGTATAAAGCAAGAAATACATTAAATAAACACATTTTAACACTGCATTTTTCTTTTATCCATTGCCATATAAATTATGCAATTATTTCCTGGGGTAATACCAATAAATCTAAAGTTTGGTTATCAGCCCTCTCTAATAAGTTATGTAAGTTTGGAGATAACGCTCTAGGATCAAAGGTGCTTTCGGATCAAGGTGCAATATATATCTGTGTGTGTTTGTTAATAAAGAAGATTTTAGTAAGTAAAAATCTTTATAAATGTTTATCCAAAAATTAGGAAAACAGCAAAACTATATAAATAGCTTTCAATGAATATGTTTCATTTTTTTTCATTTCAAATTTAATTTATAAATTTCAAATAAAACTTTCAAATTTAAATTATAAATTTCACATGTTTCATTTTTTTACAGTTAAATATGGTGTATCATAAAAAAAGAAAAACAGATAGATCATCTAGAGGTAAAGTTAATGAAAATGAAATGCAAGCAGCTGGTAATGCAGTTCTTAATGGTGGTACAGTTTATTGTGTATCTAAAGAGAGGGGAATCAATTTAATGACACTTAAGAGATATGTAAGAAAATGTCATTTAAATTCAAATACAGTCCGCAAACCTAACATCACCATGCGAATTTTTACCAACAAAGAAGAAACATCTTTATGAGACTATCTTTCAAAACTTCACTATGGATTGTCAACCAAAATAACACAAAAACCTTCTATGAAATGACTCTTTCTAAGTTCATTCCTAAATCGTGGAAAAGTTTAAAAATTGCAGGGAAACAGTGGCTTTGTGGTTTTATGTTATGTATGAATGAATTATCTTTACAAAATCCATAAGCTACAAGTATGGCACGAGCAACAGCTTTTAATCGTTATACAGTCGGAGAATTTTTCAACGATCTAAAAGATGTTCGTATGCGACACAAGTTTCAGCCAGAAAACATATATGATGTTGATGAGACAGGTGTCACAACTGTTCAAAAACTAAAGTAAACTAAAGTAATTGCTGAAAAAGGAGTAAACAAGTTGGAAGGATAACTTCAGCAAGAAGAGGGACATTGGTAACAGTTTGTTGTGTTGTTAATGCAATAGGAAACTCAATCCCTTAATCTTTTATTTTTCCAAAAGTTTATTTCAAAGGAAGTATGGTAAATGGTGGTGTGTTGCAAACCCATCTGGTTGGATGAATGTTGCAACATTTTTAGAGTGGATGAAACATTTTATATAAAATGTAAAATGTTCACCAGCTAATCTAGTGCTTTTACTTCTTGACAGCCACGAGAGCCATCTTTCAATTGTGTGTTTAGATTTAGCTAAAAAAAAGTGGCATAACTATGCTGTCCTTTCCAATTTCCTTTCCATTGTAGTCACAAGCTGCAGCCACTAGTTCGGTCACTTTATCGGCCACTGAAACGTTATTACAATGCAGCTGCAGTTGTATAATTAAACCCTTTAATCCTAACATATTTTCTGATAATGAGTTTTTGGCTTCATTTGTAATAGACCGCCAAGAACCTATTATTGCTAACCCATTTCCAGGTGTTGTTGATCCAATTTCTGCTATTGTTCATGTCCCAGCTTTTAATCAACCATTAATGTCAAGTATGTCTTCAGATTCAGCTTGTAGTTCATTGCCTATTTAGCCTATATCTGACCCGGGAAGTCAACTATCCAGTGTTTTTATTAATCTCTCATCAAGAAATTCTAGAAAAAATTAGGCCATTTCCGAAAGCTGAATGAAGGAAATCTATTTAAGGACGTAAACGTCAGCGTACTTGAATACTTACAGATACTCCTGTTCGAAACGAGCTAAATAAGCTTCAGGAAATGGAAAGAAAATCTCAGTCAAAAAAAAAAACAACATGAAACGCAAAATAAGATCTTCATGACAAGCAAAAGAAAACTTGATCTTGAAAGTAATGAAAAAAAAGCAACGTTGAGTCTCAGTAAAAAAAACATTTTTTTCATTGATTTTTTCTTCTTTTAAGAAAGATAAATTTCATAGGATCAAGGGTGCATATCGGTAGGATCAAGGGAGCATACTGGTATGCACCCATGATCTCATTTAAGCGTTCTAAGTTTTTATAATTTTAATTAATTTTTTTTTAGCATTAAATCTGATTATTTTACTGTTTTGTATTTTTAAATATTTTATGTAATCTTTATATATTATATGTTGAATATAATATCATGAAAAGATTAGGTTGATATTTTGCCATCCATATCTTATTTGAGCCCCTGTCTGTTTATTATTTGTACATTTATAATTATATTTTACTTTTGGTGAAAGGAAATTGTAATTTATATAAACAGCAAAATAAAATAAAATTTAAAAAAAAAAAAAAAATGTTTTCATATGTCATAGTAGTAAATAAAAATTATATACAATTTTTTTTTTTTTTTTTTTGCGGAAAACATAGTAGTTTATAACAATATATATATATATATATATATATATATATATATATATATATATATATATATATATATATATATATATATATATATATATATATATATATATATATATATATATATATATATATATATATATATATATATATATATATATATTGTTATAAACTACTATGTTTTCCGCAAAAAAAAAAAAAAAAAATTATATATTATTTTTATTTACTACTATGACATATGAAAATTTTTTTTTTTTTTTTAATTTTATTTTATTTTATTAATTTTTAACTTTATTTTATATATATATATATATATTGTTAATATATTAAAATTAAAAACCTCTGCTATTAAAAGTTAAAAACCTCTGCTATTTTAGGACTTTAGACTACATAGTTTCAATGAAAAACACTGGAGTATGCTCATATTACACAAAAATTGCATCTTTTAGTAAAGTCAAAACTAAATGTTTCCATGCATTGTTTTTCAAACAAAAATGGATTGTTATTTAATAGCTAACATATTTTTCTTTATGAAAGAACTAATTTCATTATTTTAACTCCAAAATTTCGAGCCACAGATTTATTCATGCGTTGTTATATTATTTTAACAGCGTTTTAATCAGATGTTAGCCGCTAATTACTGTATATAAATTTACGCTAATTGTACTGATTCCTGTTATCACCACATAAAGTTGATTCAAAAAAATATAAAACAACTTTAACTTCACTGCTTACATATAAGAAATCTATAAGTATGCTCATATTACCAAGGTGCTCATATTACCCTAACCTACCTTAAGTATTGTTGAAGAATAAATTACATCAATTATATTTTTTTAAACTCTATATTTTTTAGTAATGAATAACTTTTTTTTTGGTTTAAATTCCTGTAAAAAAGACATGATTTGAACAGTGTTTTTAAAGTGTTTTGAATAAAGAACTTTTTAAATTTATTTTCATTAGTAAAAAGTTTATTGTTTATTATTGTAAACAAACGCATTATTAAAATTATTATTTTGTTCCCACTCCTTTTATCAGAGAAATAGACTAGCGAGGATTTTTTTAAATCTAAAAATAAAATCCGTTATCCTGTAAATGTCACTCAAAATGGTAAAATATTTATTGATTTATTAATACTTGCCTCTGATTATCAAAACTGGAAGTTCTGTTAAAAAATGCAAGCTTTAAATATTATTAAGTTTGTGTGTAATAATTGAAAAAGAAATCGCGTTCAAAGCATATATCGAAGACAGCCTTCAGATTTTAAAAATACTTCTTTTTCTAATATTTTTTTATTGTTTTATGATAAATGTTTCTACATTCATTTAATAGTACACTATAATTTTTAATAGTGTATGTATTATCTTTTTTTCCCCCTTAAGTGTCAGGGGCTTTCCTACATAGTTCTTTACTTTCCTACACTACACAGTTCCTACACTAGTTTCCTACAGTACAAAGTTCCGTGCATGTTTTTGCATATTAAGTATTTTATTGATTCTTGATTTATTATTCGCTGGGACTACATCATCATTTTACTCACATTTTTATAATATATGCGTAACTATAAAGTAAAAAAATTAACTCCAACAAATCTCAAATAAAAATAATCCTAATTGCTTCAAATTAGTTTTTAAATTTCTTTTCAATCTTTTAACAATAAAAAGTCACTCAATAGTTTCTTTTAAACATTTTATATTCTTTTTGTTGTAGTAATGTATTGAAATACATTAGCATTCATTTATTACATTATCTTAAGATTCTTCACAAAACGAGCGGTTAAATAATTAACCATTAGTTTAAGTAATGATGTAGTTATTCGCTAAATGCTCGTAAAAATAACTCAAATAACTTTTTGAATATAGTTATTATATTGTGTTAATAAGTAAACCCACACATGCACTTATATATTTTATTTGATTTTAAAAATTTATATCATAAATGAACGTCTTTGTGTTTTTTTCCGTACTAACATTCATATCGCATATTTATGCATACGTTCCATGGGAATTCAATGGAACAACTCCAAATATTAATGAGATCATTATAGGACGTTGTTTACAATTTAAGCTCGTAAGTTCTCAGAATCGAAATCCAGCATTATACGTTGACGCAGACTGTAAGAAAGTATGGGACTTATTCAATAGTAGTTTCTCTTTTAAAGATTCATGCCAAAATGAAAGCAACTATGAATCGCTTTTCAATCTTGTTGGATTTAAAAAACTATTAACAGATCAGGTAATTTTTTTTGTTTTAAAACTAATTTTATTTTTTTAAATTCAAAGGCGTTTCATAAACTTACTTGATCAATGAAAAGAGGCTGTTCTAAAGCGAGACTGTGTTTGTCATAATTAAAACATCTGAGTCTTAGCTATGAATTTTCAAAATTCAGAGTAATAAAATATAATTAGTAGCGTAACGATGGGCACGCATAGCCCGCAGCCACGGAAGGGCCCGAAATTATTTGAGGCCCAAATTGAATGTGATTAAAATACACGGCAAAGTCTGAAGAAGTAGCATTATGTTTTTTTTAAGCATTACTTAGTTTCTCCTAAATTTTAGTAAATTAAATTGTTCTTTTTTAAAAAAAACATTTTTATAAACATCAAATGATGTTTCAAAAACAGTCTCCACAGTGTAACTGGTTACTTTTAATGTTGGCTGATTTTTTTAAAGATGTCAACAAATATCTTGTAGGTACTCTATAACTTTCATTAATGAACCATAAACATCTCCGGTAATAGTGAGTTTTAAATAAAACACACTCCACGTATCAGAAAAAGATGTATAAAAATGTCCCAAATTAAATATTGCGTCATATGTCAACTATTGCGTATGGTTTTTAGAAGAAGTTCATCTCAAAAAAGAAAAAAAAGCTACTAAAAAATTAATAAACTTTCTTTTTTGAAATAATCATAAATTTATAAATAAATAATAAGAAATACTGTTAAACTCTTCAAGGATAAATTATTATAAATGTCACAGCTGTATTCTCATTTTTCCCAGATGTTTCACGTTTTTAACAAACTTATCCAGTGGGCACGGATGTAAAAAAGACGTCTTTTAAACGTCTTTACACGTTTTAAACGTCTTATGAACGTCTTTTGAACGTTTTGGATGTCTTTTGAACGTTCAAAAGACGTCTTTTTTTGGTCCTGTGCCCACTGGGTAATAATTTAACAATTTTTTGACTTTGAGGCGCCTTAAATGCTGTAAAAAATTAATCAAGTGCATTATAAAATAAAATTTCTTTGCCATTTAAGTATGCATGTTGATTGCAAATGACTAAAATCTCTAATAAACGACCTTTTGCTTTAACTTTTTTGGTAAGCTCTGACTTAATGTGCGATGTCTCTCCTTTTATTAAATGTTTTTTATTTTCAGCGCTATTGGTTTTTAAAGTAATTACGCCAAATTGTTAAGTTTACTTTATGTAATATTTGTTCAATAGTGAGTTAATAGTCAGTATGCAATAGTTTTAATAGTTAGGGTGAAAAACTTAAAAATGTTTAAATTCTAAATTGGTAGGCTACTCTAAAATACCTAAAAGTCTAAGCTTTATATGAAAGTTCAAATTCAAAATGATGTAACACTTTTACTAAGTTTTCTGATGCCAAAAAAAGTATATTTTGAGACGCCTAAAAGAGACGATTTCGAAATATTTTTTTTCCCTCTGTTTAGGTTTATAACAAACTCCATTATACAAAAAGCAGGAAGGGTTTTTATTTTCAAATACGAATTATTTACATTGAAAGTTTTATGAAAACAACCCTTAAAATAACAAAATTGTGATTAATAAGAATTATTTTTCAGCATATTTCTTTTGCATTTTTTTTTAAAGATTTGCAGAACTCCAGTATTACTGGTAAATTTTTTTTTTCCTTGTTGGTAAATAGACAATCCTTCAACTAATTTTTTAAATTAGTTAAAGGATTGTCTATTTACCAGTCTTCAAATAATAATTTTTTAAAGTAAATATTTTTTAAACTAAACATTCAAATAACAATATAAAAGTTGGGTTAAGTTAAACGGACACTTGAATTAAAAAAAAATTTGGAATGAGCTGCAAAATTGATTTTTTTTATTCAAAACTTATTATATTAAGCCTAGAACAAAAAAATAAATAACGAAAAAAACTAAATTACTTCAGTGCGATAAAATTTTCTAATTTTTCTTTTGAGATCCATACACTGTGGTGGTTTAAAACCCATTTCTTCTGAAAGTCAGTAGCTGATTTTGCTCGCCTAAACTTCTTATGTAATATAACTTTAATTAATGTCTAATATTGCTCATTTGGAAGTTCAGGACAATTTGCAGGATTGTGTGTCCTAGGTATTGATAATCCTATACTATTGGCATTGTAAAAGTTTAGCATAGATTTAGAGTAATGACAAGGTGCTAGATCAGACTAAAACACTGCATTGCTATCGTGAGCATTCTACAGTTGCAATAAGAGCTTTTTAAAGCATTTTTTGATTTATTGTGGAATTAGTGACGAAACTTTGTGTTTTCGATCCACATTGACTTATAGGTTGCTTAACCATTATATTTTGGGGAATTTGTTTAGTTTTCTTGTTTTAAATTTAGTCTTTTTCCTGTAGACTACCATATAAAATGATGTCCTGGAACCGTTTTGAAATTTAGTTTCACATAAGTTTCATCGTTCATAATTTATTTATTATTCATAATTTAGTTGCACATAAGTTTCATCGTCCATAATTTTTTTTCATCACTAAATTTACTTCAGCTTTGCAATCTGGAGCTTTATACATCTTGAAAGAGTTGATTTTATGCTTTTTCTTGATAGTCAGGATCATTTGTATGCAAGTTTTGCATTTTAGTGCCAAATTTCGCTCAGAAATGTTAGGGTTTACCTTTATTTTCGCCAAAACATTCGTTTTCAGTTTTTTTGTTGAGTATTAACAAAAAAACGGAACTGTATCGAGTATTAACAAAAAAACTAGAAACGTCAACAACTTGAACATTGTTTAAGTTGTTGACGCTTCAAGGCTCTCTATTTTTTGTATTAACCCAGTGGGCACGGACGTAAAAAAGACGTCTTTTAAACGTCTTATACTTGTTTTGGATGTATTTTGAACGTTCAAAAGACGTATTTTTTAGATCCGGTGCCCACTGGGAAGCGTCAAATACTTGCTTAATGTTCTAATTGCAGTGTCATGCAACAGCTTTTTTAGAACATCCAACAGTTTATTTTAGAATATCTAACAGTTTTTTTTAGAACATCCAACAGTTTTTTTTAGAACATCCAACAGTTTATTTTAGTACATCTTACAGTTTTTTTTAGAACATCCAACAGTTTTTTTTAGAATATCCAACAGTTTTTACAATTGATTTGAGAAGCAAATTAGAATTTTCTAATTGAGCGTGCAAAATTGCATCATGCACTTGTTGTTGTTTTGAATAATAACAAAATTTTTCTAAAAAAAAATATTTTTACTGAAATACTAATACATAAATTTTTTTTCTGTATGATATCATTTTCTATGATTTTTTAAGCGTCCTAATTATAAGAAATAAAAAGTGTCAACTTTATTTGACCCAAGCTTTACATCGTTGCTATTTGTGTCCAAAGGATGTTTTATAAACTTTATTTTGATGTGGGAAATTAGCTAGCTACAATCGTAATGATAAAGACAGCAATATGACCACGAGGATCGCTGGCTTTTTCAGGTTAGCAAAAAGCTATCGATATTTGTAAAGATAAAGACAGCGATTTAGCTACGAGGACAGGTTGTTTAATACAGCGATTTAGCTACGAGGACAGGTAGCTTAATAAGCTAAAAACCCACTGGCTATTGTAGCTCAAGTGATACCGTAAAAGAATCGCTGTCTAAAAAATTTTGATATGTAGCTACTAACCGGCTATAGATTTGTAAATATTTTGTAGCTAGCTACAAAGCTACGATATTTACGACACATTGCTACAATATCGCACAGTTTAAAGTTCAATTATTCTCATAATTATAATAGACTCAAGACTAAAAATCGAATTTTTAAAGATGTTAAAAACAATAGAAAAAAATAAAACAGGAAAAAAAAATCGCTTAAAAATCGCTATAAAGCTAGCTAGTCGCTCGCTAATCGCTAGCTCATTTCCCACCCGTTTATAAGATTTCTAAAAATGATAGAACTCAAAAATGATGAAATATTAATCTTTGTTAATGTTTAAGATTCCAACCACTGTTAAAGAAAGTCAATACAAAATCAGTGAAATTAGGCACCGAAACATTGAAGACATATAATCAAACTCTAAACCATATAAATAAATTTTTATCAAACTGTTTTAAATTGTTTATTCTTACTTCTATGCAGTTGCAAAAAAAAAAGCAGTTTTCTTTATAAAGAAATTTGTTACATATTAAACCAAAGAAATATGTTTTTCAGAATCATATATTAAAGGTAAGATGCCTTTAATATATAATGTAAAACTTTTCTTAAGTTTTCTGATGAAAAGATTTATCAGAAAACTTATGAAAAGTGTTACAGTGTTTTAAATTGAATTTTTACATGGAAACTTAAATATTTTAGTATTTTAGCCATTAGTTTTATTGAATATAAACTTACAGAACTCATTGATTATAAACTTACTGAACTCATTGAATATAAACTTACTGAACTCATTGAAAATAAACTTACTAAATTCATTGAATATAAACTTACTATTAAACAAATATTACCTAAATAAAGATAATAATGCAGCGATTTTATCTAAAATGTCCATAGTTTCAGAGTATAAATATCTCTGATAATCTTAAGAGTTTTCTTTTAAATCTAATTCACAGCTCTACACAACCACTGTTAAGTTGGGAGTTACTAGAAAACAAAGAATAGAGTAAAAGAACAAGGACATGATTTGGATAAGATTTGATAGGTTAAAGTTGTGTGAGTCTAGAAAAAATGAAGATGAGATTGAGTTTCAAAGAATTAAAGTGGAGGGGAAAAAAAACTAGAATCAGAAAGGTTTTTAGAGCATGAAGACCGTGGGAAATGAGCAAGCGACTAGCGAGCGACTAGCTAGCGTTATAGCGATTTTTATACGATTTTTGTTCTTGTTTTATTTTTTCCTAATATCTTTAACATCTTTAAAAATTCGATTTCTAGTGTTAAGGTTTTTAAAATTCGATTTTTAGTGTTGATAATTATGAGAATTATTGAACTTTAAACATTGCGATATTGTAGCAATGTGTCGCTAGCTACATATCGTAGCTTTGTAGCAAGCTACAATATATCTACAAATCTATAGCCGGTTGGAAGCTAAATATATCAAAATTTTTTAAACAGCAATTTTATTACGATATGACTTTAGCTACAATAGCCAATGGATTTTTAGCTTATTAAGCTAGTTGTCATCTTAGTCAAATCGTTATTTTTATCTTTACAAATATCGATAGCTTTTCGCTAACTTAAAAAAGCTAGCGATCCTCGTGGCCATATCGCTGTCATTATCGTTACGATTATAGCTAGCTGTTTGCTACCCGATTTCCCACCGGGAAGGGGCTGAATGAAAAGTTAAGTAAAAACGACTTTTGGTTAATTAAACTAAAGGCGATAGCTCCTTTTTTTCTCTTTTAGCAGCATCATTATTTTATTTGTAGAAAAAAAAAGGTTATACATTTTACATCAATAGGGAAGAGGCTCAAGCTTTGCAGATAAATCCACACCAACAAAGTTAATATACAGGGGGCAAAAAACAGATTTGAAGAGGTAGAGCATGTAATCAGGAGTAAGATAATGACGAACACTATAAATAGAAACAACCTTAGAAAATGCTAATTTTGCAATAAATTGTATATATGGTTCAAATGAGAGACCAGTAGTGAATATTAATCTAAGAAGGCATAAAGAAAAGGGCTCAGTGTGAGAGTTGCCTTTCATTAATAAAGGAAAATCGAAAATATTGCATTCGTTAATTTCCGTGGGACACAAAAATGTAAATTAAATTGTTTTTTTCATTAAATTAAGCTTGTATACTAAAAACTATTAAAGATGGCGTTGCGTCAAACATAAGTTGAACTAAACTAGAATGACTTGTTGGTGGTCTATAGATTAAGTTTAACTAAACTTGATTTAATTAATTTATGAACAGTACAAAAAAGTAAGATTTTCTGTCACCATTGTTGCTATAATTACTTTTGAATCTTTATTGCAAAAAAAGATTCTGTTATTCAAAAGTCGTTGAATGATTTAAAACATTATTTACATCATTAAAAAACTTTTTATGATATAAAACCTTTTTTATGAAAACATAATAAACAAATATTCAGTTCAGAAGGTTCAGAATTTTATTACTAAAATAGTCAGTGACGAAATAAGACTTCTAGGGTCCCTGGGCTATTTTTGTTTTTGGAGGCCTTTTTATGGGCCAGATCCTAAAAATGACTAAAAAAAAAGATAAAAAAAATCCTCTAAAATTTTTTTTTTAAACTACCAATTATACAAGTCAAAAAATTTTTGTTTAAGCTTTGCTAGTTACTTGCGCGTATTTTGTTTAGTTATTTTTAATGACAGCCCTTAATACAGTATTTTTAAAATTGCCTATGAGTTATGCTATTTTTTAAAAAGACTATAAATAAATGCTGCTAATTGTCCCTTTTTTATGGTTTGTAAAATCCTGTCATGCTAGGTTTTATTTGTACACCATGAAAGTTTTCTTTATTAAAGTTAATATAGTTTCCTTTTTTTATTAATCAAATCAAAAAAAATAAAATTAACTAATAATTTCTATGTATTAGCTATAATTAACAAGATAAAAATGACTTTTTACTGAAGTATAACTATAATAGTTGAAAAGTTTAGTAAAAACAACAAAAAGTTGTAATCGTAGAAATAGCGCATCAAACAAAAACATAGTGCTGTATAAAAGTGTGCATCAAAATATTATTAAAACCAACATGAATATTTTGTTTACACTTAAAAAATATAAATATATATATACATACATACATATATATATATGTATATATATATATATATATATATATATATATATATATATATATATATATATATATATATATATATATACATATATATATATATATATATATATATATATATATATATATATATATATATATATATATATATATATATAATATATATATATATATATATATATATATATATATATATATTTATATCATTTTTAAAAAAGATGATATATCATGTATATCATTTATGATATATATCATGTACCAAAAAGGTCCCAAAAAGATGTTATATACATATAACATCTTTTTGGTACCTTCCTTTATAAAATTTAAAAAAAATGACATTTTTGAATTCAATTTTTTTTTTAATTTGAAAAAAGTTTTTAATTCTAAATTAAGTTTAGGTCAAATATAGTATTTCTATGATAAATTATAATCAACAAAGTTTAATTTTAAAAAAATATTTCTTTTAAATCAAAATTTATTAAAATTTTGATTTAAAAGAACACTTTATAGTAAAAAACTATATAAAACTATTAAAAGTTATCTTAAATATTTTAACTATTTATTCTTGTAGTCACCTTTTTTGTGTTGTTGCATATTTATTTATTGCAAATACCTTAAGTGCTTGATAAGTCATGATTTTTTTTACTGCTTTTTTTTACTGTAAGGCATTATTTTGGTCAGGCACTCGACAAATTGTACACGATTATACTGCTGTTCAAAATTATTTCTTTACACTTGAAGATACGTTTGCGGGGTATTATAAACAATTTTACTTTTTGTAATAAAAAAACTGTGACATATTTGTTGTCACGAAATGGTAATTTTAAAATATAGTACGTAGCACGATGCAGCTATAACTTTTTTTTAACATCTAGTTACATTGTTAATAATCTTCAGTGGTGTGGTTGCAAAAGTTGTCAAGGGGGGATAAATTTTAACAGTTGCAATAAAAGTTGCACAAATTATGCTTTATACTCCTATTGGTTGAAAGCTTCAAAAACAGTAGGTTTAAAGTTTTAGTAAAATTTTGTTATGTTTTTTTCTAAACTAAGTTGTTTTATTTATGAATCTTTACTTTAATGATTTAGTTTGCCGAAAATGCTAATGGAACAGCGTATGTGATGGTAAATGGAACAACTGATTCTGGTCTAACTGCCTATTTTAGTAAAAGGTTTAAAATAGTATATCATAATACTTGTCACAAAATATGCATTTTCAAATTTTTTTTTTTATATTTTTTGCATCCTCTGAAACTAAAGATGCCATATTTAATTATTATTTGGCCTACTTTTTTTTACGATTTAGTTTTTAGTTAAAAAGTAAATAACAAATCTTTAATTAACTGAATGAATTGCAATTTAATTTTTTGCATTTATGGTGGATGTAACTTCTTAAAAAAATTTAGGCTTGTTCTTGAATGTTTATTTACAAAAGGCATCTTTTCTTTATTAAAATTTTTTGTCTGTTGTTCCTTCCAAAAATTATTTGCACATTTATTTTCACATATTGTATTATTTCTACAAATAAGAGATATAAGTTTTATTAATAGTGATATTAAAGCACAATCTAATGAAAAAGTTTGACAGTTAAAATGACAGTTTTAAAATGTGAGTATAAAGCATTACCAAAAGCACCATAAATCTAACTATATAATAATTGAAAAGCAAATAGTTTTTAGGGCTTTCAATACCGGTATTGAAAACTGGTGTTGAACTAATTTATTATGAATTATATATTTAATAATATATTATTACTAGTTTACAATAACAAAACTATATCAAAAACCGGTTTTTAAATTAAACATGTTCAGATGGAAAATCAGATAAAAAAAGATGAAAGCTGTGAAGTAAACAACTCTAATGCACCTTCATTAGAGTTGTTTACTGATACAGAATCAGATAGTAATCACAAAAGTATCTAGTTGTAGCAACATTTTTAATGATATAATAGAGAAAACTACTTATGGATGCAGTAATTAGTGGATTTAAGTGGATTGCAATAACTTTTGAATAGCTCAGAATACCTCACGTGAGGTATTTTATACAAACTTGATATTTTCTCAAAATGTTCTCGTACTGCATCCATGATCAGATTTCTTTTATCCAGTTTTCATCCAGAACCAATCAGTTTGATTAAGTTTTGATGTTTATCTTAATTTTTTGACTCAATTAATTTTTTATTTTCATGCTCAAAAACATGCTTTTGCTATATAGAGTTACAAACGGTTCTCAAAAAAAATTAATTTATGTGCATAGACTGATTAAGTTTTTTTGAGAACCGTTTGTAACTCCATATTGCAAAAGCATGTTTTTGAGCGTGAAAATTTTTTTAAAGTGTTAAACTGTATTGAATTGGCTGTTAAAGAGTTAACCAAGAATAACTTTAACCAATAAAGATGTTTACATGTTTTATTTTAAATCTTTCTGAGAAAAGGTTTTAAGTTTAGGTGTGCTAATTTCACTCAAAATTCGATATGATGAGTTTAAGTGTGCTGGATTCACTCAGAGTTCAACGATGATGAGTTTAAGTGTGCTGGATTCACCTAAAATTTATTGATGATAAGTTTAAGTGTGCTGGATCCACTCAGAACTTGATGATGATGAGTTTAGGTGCGCTGGATTTACTCAGATGAGGAACACAATAAAGGTTTAGTATTGCAAACATTTTGTAAAGTCAGGAATAATATAATATTTAGTTAAGATCTTCACCTCTAACAAGACTGCAAGCAATCACTGTTAAAGTTGGAAATTTCCGCAAAAGAAAAGATGAAGATTATAGGTAAGATAACAGCTGAAAGATTGCAAACTGTATAAATTAGGAAAACAACATGAAGGAAGAGAATTCCAAAAAATTGATGTTTGAGAAAAAAAACTATATGAATAAGAATTTTTGGTGCACTTAGAAACATTCACAGTATTATATAAATAATACTGTTCTAATAACAATTCAACTTGCGTTGAAATCAAGTAAACAATGGTTTTATGTTGCTAGTAACCTTTCCAATAAGCTTTAAACCCCAATAAGTTGCGTTTATATATTTTATATATTTTTTTGAGCTAGTAAAAAATGTTTTTTTAAACACTTTTAGTTTGATAAAAAGAAGAAGATTTATACGCAGAATCAGCAGAGAGAGGATGAAATTCTATATAAAAACATATTTTTATGTTTTTTTTATCAAGTTTTGGTCAAAAATCTCTAGTTTTTATCACTTTAAGATATGTTTGATGTAACAATCAATAAATAATGACGCAACACAGTCTACTTGCAATGAGTGGCGCAACATGACCAACTTGCAAATGAAACACTTTAAATAATAATTGCTTGGTTTTTTTTTCTAGCTGCAATTAAGAAAAGTCTTATAAATATTTTTTTCAAATATTAAACTGTTTGAAGTTGAAAAGTTACATTAAAGTACAAAAAGAAATACAAATTACTTTTTGTGATGTTTTTAACAATAACAAAAGCAGAGGTGGAAAGTAACGAATTACATTTACTCCTTCATTGTAATTAGTTTGTGAGTAGTTTTTTTTGTAAATTTTTATTATTAAATAATTTTTTTTACAAATTTAAAAAAAAGTGCACATTATGTGTACTTGTTTCTTTTGCTTCAGTATATTTTTTTAAGTATTGTATTTTACTACATTTTAAATCCTATACGCTACGGTGTTCGACCGGTAACGTTTACTTGTACTTGGGTAAAATTTCACTCAAGTAATAGTACTTTTACTTGAGTACAAAATTGTGTTACTTTTTACCTTTGAACTAAAAACTTAAAACATGCAACCAATCTTAAATCTGATTTCTCCTCTATAACAATCTGCACTGGCTTGTAAATTTTAACTCCGAAAAAAAATCATTTATTTACTTCAAAAAGTTATTGCAATCCACTTAAATCCACTAATACTAGCATATCCACTTTTGATAGACTAACCAAATTCCTATATAAAAGACTCTTACTCTTACTGAGTTACTTTTACTGAGTTTTTTACTTTACTTCTTCTTGGAATATCATTCACGGTAATCATTCTCATGGAAAGCATGTACACAATCCATGGAAAGTTAACATCTGCTAAGGTTGCCTCTCTTTATCTTGTTTGCCATTTTCTTACATTTTACCTTATTTTCTACCTCTCTAAATCAGGGATAACAACACCGGAGGACCGGGGGGCACGTGCCTACCCCCCCCCCCCCACTTTTTTTCTATAGTACTTTTTTTTTTTAATAAGACTTTTTTAAAGAATTGACGATTGTGCCCCCCACTTCGAACAAATAAAAGATTTGCAGGGCCACTATTGTCGGACCTGAAAATCTCTTATTTATTCCTGCAAATCTCTTATTTGTTCATTTTAGGAATTCTGTTGTTAAATCTGCTTCTTCTAAAAATGTTCTTTCTTTTTTTGACCAGACGCGGATTGTAAATTTGATTGGAGATGCTCTTTTTACTAAGCTTGAATCTATTTGCCTCAAGGTTAGCTTTTTTTCACTTTTCTACAAATACTTTTATGGTTGCTTCTCAAACGAGTTATTTTAAGCAACATAAAACAATTGGGTTGTTGAGTGAAAAGGAACTAGAATGTTTTCTTAACAATTTATTTTTTACAATTTACATTTTACAATTAACAGTTTAAAGAGTTTTACAATTTACAATTAACAATTTAAAGAGTTTCAGTTGAGTTGGAAAAGTGTGTTGTGTTAAGTTTAGAAAAGTGTGTTGTGTTTAGAGCAAGGTGAAAATTCATTTTATAGAAAAAATTTTTGTCTTGCTTTTGAACATCAAACTTAATATAAGTATTATAAAATTAAAAAGAAACATATATATATATATATATATATATATATATATATATATATATATATATATATATATATATATATATATATATATATATATATATATATATATATATATATAAAATAAGAGTTATAAATTAATTTTAAAGTTTCAAACTGTTATTATTGTATGTTAGGGTCAGATTGCTTTGTTATTTCATTAGCATATTTAATCTTTTAACAGAACAAAGTTAGCTCTAATATTTTAAAAGTTACATAAGTTTTAGTAGTACTCTCTATGTGAAACTTTCAACTTCTGAATTTTTTGTCTTTGTTAATGTATATATATCATTAAAATGTTTAAAGTAACCCTGCTTTAAAGTAACCCTGTTTCAATCTATCAATCTATGAGTATATTTCGATAAAAATCGTACAATCGGTCATTTACAAACACTTAAAAACTAATCTTAAATAAATACCATCTTAAGTAAATACCAAATAGTATTAATAATACAAATAATAATGATAATAATGATGATAAATTAACAATTATAAGAATAATAACAAAATTATATAATAATAAACCAATATCTATTTTAAAACAACAATTGAATAATATGCACAGACAGGAAAGTTACAAACAATTATGTACAAAACGTAACGACAAACCATGTAACTTGATTTAATAAATACAATAATCATAATAAAAATTATAAAAGCCATATCAAAAATCATAATAAAAATTATAAAAGCCATATAAATATTTTATTAAAAAATAACAATAAATAAACAAAAAATATTTTTCAGAAAAAATCACAAATAAAAACGTGTCACACGCACACACAAACATTTTGTCACGAAATGTAGAGTTTTTATAATAAGTGAAAATATTCAAATAAAAAAGGAATAATATTGTAATACCCAGCAAACACATATCGTCGCTCAAAATTATTAAAATTTAAAAATTATTCCTTTTCTTTTCTTCAAAAATCGAGCAATTTTTATTTTTTATTTTAATTCTTTTTAATTACTTTCCATTTTCAAATATTTTTTAATTTTAACTTTAGTTTTTTATCTTTCTTTTTTATTTTCTCGTTTCTTTTTTCGTTTTTTTTTTCTTTTTTACTTTGTTTGAATTGGTTTTTAATTTATTATTTAGATTTTTTGCTTGTTTATTTCTTTCTTTTTCTTTTTTTCACTAAATTTTTATTTTATTTGTTTTTCTTATTTGATTTTTTTTAATTTTAAAGTAATTTTTTAATTTTAAAGTAGCCCTATTTTAAAGTAACCCTGTTTTATAGTACGTCCATAATGTAAGTAGCTCAAACTTCAATGATTTAGCTCATATGCTTCAGCCAGGCTATGCAGAATATTTGATATTCAGCAATTTACTATTTATGGGATTCTTATTTTAAACAGTGTACCATAGGCAACCCCTAGTTTACTTTACTCTAGCACTGACTTAGCATGAAAACTAAATATTCATATATTTCTAATTTTAGTTATTTTGGAATGGTAGAGTTGCCAACTATGGGACAAAAGAAACAAGTAACTCAATTGGTAGTGATTGTGGTAAACAATTTAGAGACAAAGCCAAAGTAAGAATAATTTTATAGACAGTTTGATTAGTCACTGCGTTGTTATCACGTCATTAAGCATTAGTTTGTATAAGTCATTTTTTTGTATACTTAGCATATAAGACAGCTGTATGTTTAACGTTTGTATTGTAATATGAAACTACTCTGTTTTCAAATTGTTAATAGAATCCGCCATTTTCTATTAAACCTTAAAATTGTATGTCTTTTTCAATGTCAAAATTGTATGTCTTTTTCAAAACAAATTAGACATTATTTTTTGTTTAAATTAAAAATGAACTAGTAATATATAATAATTTTTGTACTTAAAGTTAACTAGTAATTTCAAATAATTAGTTTAATCTATTTTAAATTTCTTGAACAATATAAACTCTGAACATATAGCTTTTATATAAAAGTTAATTATTTATAATTTTAATAGTAAGAAGCGTATTAAGGTGGAGGGTAGGGGGGTTTTTAACCCTCCTACGAAAAATTTAGTAAAAAAATTAGTCGGAAAAATTGGACACTGAAGTAAGCAGATTTGGATTTTTAGTTGGCAGTCGGCAAATGTCAGCCAACGAAGGCCTTTTTTTTTAGGCCTTAGACAACAAAATGTTTTTTGCCTGTAGTCGGTAAAAACCCTTTTTTTCACTTCCTCTTCCTTTAAAATCATATCTCTTCTCCCTGGCTTATTATTCTCCCTTATTATTAATAAATATAGATTTAATAAAAATAATGTAACCATTCAATAACTTAAAATATAAAGCAAAAAACTTACTTTGTAACTTTAGTTTCTCTTTATCCCATCTAGCTATAACTTAAATAAACAAAAAGCAATTAAAAACAGTTAAAATCTAATAATTGAATTTTAATCATTAAAAGCTATAACATTAGCAAATAAGGTTGTTTTCAAAGCTGGTATTTTTAATACAATAGAAATCATTAAGATTATTATTTTTTATCATTTAAGGGGTTTATTATATATAATTCGTTTATTTTTTAGAGAAAAATGTGGCCAAGGCTCGTTGATAAACTTAGTTCAAGACGCCTATAAGGTTGGAATCAATAAAGTAAAATGCATTGATCAGCCAGAGTAAGTAATTAAAAGTTTTAAATAAAAATAGTTATTGCTCAGGAAGAGCACACAAAACCAAAAGAAGAGTTATGCACTGTGGACCATCTTTGATGCAATCTTTTCATTTTTACAACATCGTTTAAAAAAACACAATGCAATCTTTTCATTTTTACAACATGGTTTAAAAAAAGTTAAAATCAGTTTCACTTACTTTGACAGTACATTTTAAAAATCTTTTTTCAGTAAAGTCAAAATGAATAAAATTAAAGCTTGGTATCCAATAGTTTTAGAAACGTCGTACAACAATCATATTTTATAATGGAAACATATTCTTACATAAGCTGCGCAACATAATGTCAGTTGTACAACAAAATCTATATTTTAAAAAATGTTGCAGAACTAGAATCAAATCAATTTCGGCAACAATTATTGTACATCAAAAGCGCGCAACTGTTGAATAACATTTCTACAACTATTGGAATCTAAGCTTAAATTTGCGCTATAGGTTTCCGTAAAAGTACTCTTTCGTAATACCAGACAGTCAGTCAAGCTAAAATTTAAACTAACTTAAAAAGTTACTACCTTGAAGTATACATGAAGTATACAAGTATACAATAATTTAGTATACAAGACATAAATTTGCACTTTTTCAATAAACTATAAAATTAAAGAGCGCTGTTACGTTGATGACTTACTGTTTTAAAACTGTCTGGATGTACTTAGCGTTATATAACAATAAAAGTACTAAATGTGTATTATGACTGGAAACAGTTTTATCCGTTGTTCGGTTTATGCAGTGTATTAGATTAAAACAACATTTTATCAATCTCTCCGTAAGTTATGGCTAATGATAAAAATTAAAAGGTTTGATTAGATATGTTCTAAACAAAATTTAAACCTTTTTAAAAAAGGCTAGACTTCTAGAGGATCATGGGGACTTCAACTTGCTAAGATTTTTTATAAACTCAATGTTTAAATGTATACTAATAGTATATTTATATATTAGTATATAAAAGTTTTTTTTTACGTAACATAGACATAGTATTACTGTGTCAATGTCATGTAAAAAATTTCATATGTTTAGTGTATGTACTTATATATCATATTCCTGCTTATAATGTAGCTGGAAGCTGTAAATACAAAAATTAATTATATATAATGTATGTTTAGATAAACAAAACGTGTCATGTGTAGACATATATTAAAATAAAAGAAACTTTTAATTTTATTAATTTTTTAAAATGATAATGCTGTCTGAAGAAAAGAGTAGTATTTTTTCTAAATTTGACTTTGTACTTCAGTTTTTGTGTTATTATTTTTGCTCGACATTTAGCGAAATTCATATTATACATAAATGTGTGTACATTTGTAATATAAAATTTTAATTTTGAAATGTTTTGGATATGTTGAGCCAACAATAGACATTATTCAGGTCCATATTTAGGTGTCACCACTTTATAAGTTTACTGAACAAAAGTATATGAAAATGTACGCATTAATTGTTTTCTTGGTACTGGACAAAAAATTTTTTTAAATTACAAACTTGAGGAATGTTTATTTCTATTAAAATTGGAACCTCCTATTTTATGTGTAACAGAATAAGTTAATAACTTTCTCTTCAAACTATTATGGACCCTCAAGTCTTACTTGAACTTCATCATAATGTAGCAAAAAAACTAAAACTTAAAAAAAAATCTTAAAGAACAAATAGATGAGTTTTACAGTATAGAGTAAATTGAATTTATTTCTAACAAGAAAAAGTTTATTAGAAACTTATTATGTATTAAAAATCCCTCTGAATTGATCGTGCATCTTTAAGAGAAAGAAGCATAATTCTACTTAGTAGGTCAAGTCAGAGTTTTTGAAGAAGAAAACAAACTTAAAAATAATTATATGATTAACGAAGTGCAAAAATATTTTATTATAGCAACTGTTGAGTGTAAATTATTGTGTTTCTTGAAAAATATAAAAATCTTAGTTTCATGCTTGCGAAACCTAGATGATCTTGAAGATGTAGATTAATGTCTTGCTTTGATCTTAAATTCGCTAGTATATTTTTTAGTCCTTCATTGCATTGTAAAAAAGCTAGTTTGTTATGTAGTGGTGAATATACACTTGAAAAAGAAACCTAAGAACTATTGGTCTTAATTCATGTTTCCAGGCATATATACAAATTAATCTATTAGAATTTCCACAAAGGAGTTAAATAACATTGGGGTTAAACGTCTTATAGTTTAACAAACATTTACTGTGGCAGACTATATCTTCTCCACATATGCCTGGAACCGATCTTATAAAAAAAATTTGGGATTTAAAAAAAAAAAAAATGCATTCGAGTATAAACACAAAAAAATTTATCAGAAAAGGATTTTTAGCTCGTTAGATGGCCCTAAGGTTGACTTCTACAATTTTCTGTAGGTGCCTACAAATGCTGATGATCATTCACTAAGAAAGCAATTAAAGCTTAACGTAAATATTTATAAACAAATAAATCATTATTACATTATATTACGTAATTGAGAAAAACAACACGTAATTGGCATGAAATAAAATTAAATGGCTTGAAAGAAAACATTACGTTTTATCTTCACCAAAGACAGAAGATGCTTTTTTGAATGTGCTGGCGAATTACAACTAAATTACAATAAAATGACTCTCGTGCAAATTTTAGGAGTCAAATAAAAGACAGCAAACAATTGGATTTGTAACGGAAATTCAAATTTCATGAAAAAAGCCAAAAATATTGACTGAAAATCAAATCAAAGAAGCGTTAACATGGATTAAAAGTGGTTTCAATTGACATTAGTTAAAAAAGCGTTTAGCATAATTTAATGTAAGAGTAAGCACAATATCTGCCTCAAAGATTTTTTTCATTACTTACATATGCACAAGTTTCTACAATGAACAGTAATGAAAACAAATAAAAAAGAGCTGATTATGTTATAAACATCAAAAAACATATAACAACAAATGGTTGTCAGATAGTCATAAAGGATCATATAGATAAAATATAAAGTCATAGAGATAAAATATAGATAAAATATCAAAATGGTTGTCAGATGCATGAAACAAGCTCTAACCTTATTTAGAGCAAAATGCAAGGAGAAGGAAGAAGAGTAATAATGTAAATACCTACTTCAAAAGATTCGAGTATACATTTGATTTCAGATATATCAACATTAAACGTTGCTATGATAGAAACTCGCAGAGGATCATTTAAAGAAAATTAAAATAACAAGCAGCTATGTTTTACCAGTGGATTTAGTGGATCCTACCCGGGATTTCCCGGGAACGGGAACCCCGGGAAATTGCCTAATTTTTATAGTTCCCAATTCCCGGGATTCAACATATTAAAAACCGGGATTATAAAAATTATTCTTAGTTGCAAAAAGGTTTTTTAAACACTAAACTTTTTTTGAAGTAGTGTTTTGCATCTTAAAAATTATTTTATGTTGTAGTAGGCTTAGATTTTTTGTACATTCTTTTGATAACATTTTTTTTTGTCATTTTGTGTAATAATTTTGTGTAATAAAGAATTTATTTTAATAATTAATAACTTTTTTTTTTTTTTTATAATTTGAACATAATTTGTGAAATTTATATTATTTTGAAGTGGTTTATACTTGGTACATAAAAAGGTAAGCAATAAAAAGTAAAATTTGAATTGATTTAATTATTATTATACTCAAGTTATTTTTATTATATATTACAATTAGCAGACCATGTTTAAAATAAATTCATCAGAAGTTTGGAACCATTTCAAAAAGGATGAGAGTTGTGAAAAAGCAATTTGCAAATACTGCTCAAGAAAAATTGGATGCAAAAGATCATCGACCAGTGGATTAATTCGTCACCATTGCGTTTTATAGCCTTTTTCATTCAAACAGCTGTTCATCCGAAAAAGGCTATAAAACGCAAAAGTGAGGCCGATTTGGAAGCACGACCAGAAACTTCTAAGATTTCTAAAATTGAAACTCAACCTACAATCTTTAATTATGTTAAAAGATAATTTACGGCTGATATAGTAGCAAGATTGTGTGCTTAATTATGTTAAAAGACAATCTATGGCTGGAATAGTAGCAAGATTGTGTGCTTTGGATTTATTTTCAATTTCTGGAATTTGCAAAAGTTTGTTCAGGAAGTAATGTTTGAGTGCCCGTGGGTTTCAGTTGCCTTAGAGCGAAACCTACGTTATGAAACTCGTACTTGATTATTAAGAATTAGTAAAACTGGAAACCATAAAAAAATAAATTTGTACACAAAAGAGAACTCATTATTAAGTTTGACACTTGATTAGTGGACAAGCTTTAAAAATCGACGATATTTAAACGTAAAAATGCATTATTCGGACGGAAGCTATGATAATCTAGGTCTTATAAGAATTTATGGTAATTGTTCAGCTAAAGTTTTAAAAAATCTACTTCAAAAATAAACTTTCCAGTTTTAAAATTAACTTAAGTGATGTTTTGGCAATAACAACTGATGGAACGTCTGTTATGAAAAAATTTGGGAGAGAGTCATCATTTATGTCCCACCAATTATATCTTAATCATGGTATTCAGCTCGCAATAACCGAAATTATTTATAAAAAAAAATTTTAAAGCTAGAAGCTAATTAAATAATGAATATTTAGAGTTTTCTTCTGCTGAAGAACCTGATCAAAATTTAGATTCAGAAAATGAGGACGATGATGTACAAGTAGAAGGGGATGCTGATGAAGAGTTACTTGGAAATGAATACATAAATTTGAATGAAAATGAGATTAAAGCGAAATCAAAAGATTTGATTTCGTTTGCAATGTTAAGAAAATTTAAAATCTAAAATTCAGAAAATTTAAAATCTAAAACAAATGAATGTAGAAATGGTTTTTTTTGTTCTACCATCAGTTTTAGCAGTATCTAAATTAGCAAAAAATTTACTAATCCAATATTTTTCTGATGATTGTGAAATTATCATTGGTATTACTTTAGATTTAGGCGACACAATGGATGTACCAACAACAAACGCAAACGATTCTATTTT